AATAAAAAAGGAGGGGAGATAAGGATGATAGATGTTTGATAGGAAAGAAAAAGCAAACCACACCAGAGCACCCACCAACCACCCACCTTGTACATTTGAACAGTTGGCCGATGATATTATTATTATTTAAGTTCATGGAATGAAGTGAAAAAAGGTGTCGGTAGGCTAATTCCTCTGGACAGGGATTTTTTTAAAGTAAGCATTTTACGGCACTTGCAACACAATAAGGTCATATAAGTGCCGAAGATTAGAGGTGTTACAAGAGAGTAACAAACACAAAAAAAGAAAGAGGGGAGATAAGGATGATAGATGTTGGATAGGAAAGAATAAAAAAAAAAACCCAACATAAATTACACTTCCATTTGTCCCAGAAGGGCACTTTGGTTTAAAATGACAAACATACATATGCATACATAAATACATTTAATTATCAATACGTGCACATACATAAATACATACATGAATATACAATATTACACAAATACAGGAGGGTGTGGTGGCGGAGCGGTTAGTGCGAAGCGGATAGTCCAGGTTCGAGCCCTGGTTCGGACACGCATTTTTTTCGCCCCCTCCTGCCCACCCAGCAGTAATGGGTACCTGACTTTGAGTTGGGGAAGTAAAGGCTGCGTGGAAAAGAACTGGTCACCCTACCACAATATGCCGAAGGCCCAGGAAGTTGTCTCACTAACAAGGCAATCCCCAATGTCCGGATCGGATGCGGGAACAACTTTACTTTTACAAAAATACAGAACAGTTTACAACCATGCCACTGTCGGTTGCCACCGTGCAGCACCCTGTATTTTGAGCTAGGGTTGTCGTGTCTTGCTCAAGGACACACCCCAGTGACCACCCATCTGATCCCCGTGTCACCGACACTTGCTTGACATTACTCGAGTCTAAACTCACTGCTCACTTAGTCACTGGAGCAAACCACACCAGAGCACCCGTCTGGACAGGGAGGGGAATAAAATGTTCAGGTTCTCTGTTCTGGAAGGTGGACAAACACAGTGAAAGATACATTTACTATGTATGTACGTGATGTGTGCATGTTCTCCATCTCCATAGAGAGACAAGAAAAGACATATGGTACCTTATCATTATCAATCTTCCATTGGAAGAAATTAACTATCCTTTCACAGCATAAAATAGCATCTCATTGACATCTCTCTCTATTTTTCTCTCTCACTCTTCCTCTCTCTCTATTTCTCTCCTTCTTCTCTCTCTCTCACCCTCCTTCTCTCTCCTTTTCTCCCCTTCTCACTCATTTGACTCATTTCCACCCTCACTAACAGTAACAGTACGGACAAACACAGTGCAAAATTATCCTGTACATGTACTGTAACTGTAACAAAATACAGTTGATCATGCTCTCACAACCACATATCCAAGACAATCACCTGCACAAACGACCATTTCCCGCCTTGGAATTTTTAAATTATGTTTGTCTTGGAAGATCACTTTTCTCCTTGATGGCTGATCATTTCACACAGGTTCGACTGTATGGGTCAAAATTAGTCGCTTTTAAGGACAAGAGAGCTAACCCAGATTTTGGGGGGTTTCCAAAAATCTTGACCTCTCTCTCTTTTTCTCCCCTTCTCACTCATTTGACTAATTTTCACCCCTTTTTTACCAAAAGTGGGCATTGCCCTACCTATAAGAGAAGTTTGGTTTCATTGGTGTGTATATTTGTTTGGTAAAAGAGAAAACTCTCCTGGTCCTTTAAAGAAACTGAACAAAGGGCAAAAACTTAACCTTCGATTTTCTCAAAACAGCATTTTTCGGGATAGCCCCCTTGTGCTTTTAAGCGACCAATTACAATATTTGTACTGCTTTTTTGAGCCAGTAGACTCCCCCAAGGCTTGCCGAGTCCTCCGGGGAGGACCAATCAGGCGTCGGCTAACACCGGCTTGTCCCATGCATCCCATGAGACGAACCATTGCGGTAGGAAGTTGAATTCTTCGTCATTGTCCCGCCTCTCGTAAGTCATGTCTTTTCCCGGCCCCCAGCGGAAAACATGGGCACACCTGTCATCATGGGTGAAAAGGACATAGTCTAAAAGTAATGTAGAAATAAATATCAAAATAAAAAATAAAAGATAGGACACACATATATATTCTGTAAACAGTTATCATATCATATAAAAATACATTTGTAACAATGGACCCATCATGTCTCTAGTGCTCACTCACTGTACACTCACAATCAGTAAAGACCATAAAGAAAAATGTGATGATGATGGTCAGAAAAATATCGAATCAAAAGAAATTCTGTTATTTATTGAATTTCTGTAGACAGTAGTTTGAGAGCGAGAGAAACGATTCTTCATTTCATCATACTTGTATGATTATTACCGGTATATAATATATTTTGCAATCAAGTTATCAAAGTTTAGCAGCAAACATAACAAAAAGATTAATTTTAAAACTGGACTAACTAAAACCAGTTGAATTCTTCAGCTCTTGTAGAATGCAACTTTTTTTTCAAAGGATGTGTCCATCCATAGAAGAGGAAAACTCGGATCCAACCTTTACCCTTGCGCATTCCGTGACAGGCATCTACTACTACAGTGACATTTTCAGCAAAGATCATATTGAAATTGTGAAAAAACAAGACAGACGGAAATAGACGGTGCACTGCTAAATTAAATACATAGTTTACATTGGCGCTCATATGACCTTTTGCAGTTGTGAGTGCAGTAAAAACTCTACTAAAACTAGAAAAACATAGTTTACACTGTTAACAGTAATAACAGAGCATAACAACACTATTGATACACCTGAGAAAACAACCTGGACCAAGAACTTCTCTCGAGTAATCCGTGTTGTCAAGTTGTGAGCGTGTAATTAAGCGAGGTGGGTCCCACGACATCTGTATTACATTATGCACAAAAGAATCACAGAATAATCCAGAGATAAAATAATAATGACTTCTGTTCTGAGAAATTGTCAATAACAGAAAAAAACAAATGTAAGGCATGCAGACAAAATGAGTTACTTCTCGCAATCCCTGAATGGAGATATTAGCTGAAAATAGACATTGGGGTCAAATTTGCAGATTTTCAATCGATGCCATTTTCTTCAAGTATAATGTCTTTTATTTTTTCATAATTACAAATTGTACAAAATCCACCTGTAAATTTTATATATATTTTCCTAAAAGTCAATGTAACTGATTGTGGTAGCATACCTCACCAATGTTTTTAGATTTTACAAAAACTGTAACTTGAAAAAAGTGAACTCACAACACAAAGTAAAATACCTTTCATTGTCTTCAGTGATATTTGATTTGACAAAGTCCAGGAAATCTTTGAGAAAGTTAAAACAGACATTTGGTTTCCACGGTTGGCGTATAGAATCCTGGCGAGAGAAAAAGGAAAAGTCTCAGTTAGAAGGGTAAATAGTTCTGACAATAACAAAAAAATAGTTCTGATATAATGTTAAGTAACTGACAATTATTTACAGAGAGTATCATAAACAATGTCATACAGATTGTTAACGAATTTGACAATTGCAAATTATGATCATCTTTTAAGAATTTGAAAGTAGGCCTACTGCAAATTTCAAAAGAACATAACACAAAGTGCTTTGTAACACACTTAATGATTATATAAGCAATTTCATGTGTATTTTAGTGTGTAAACAAAAAGGGCATTCTACATTCTATATTATTAGTAATTACTGTTACTAGGGCAAATTGAACCCAGACCTTGAGTATAATTAACAGCTAGTAAACGGACACTTTACACCTTGAGAGCTGTAAAGATATATGTAATAATAAAAATAATAAATAGCATTTGTATAGAGCGTATCTCCGCTCAACAGCAAGCTCTATGCACTTTATACTATATTATCACCCCAGCAGACCATAGAACACTCCGAAACATTCTCAGCTTCCTGGGAAGCATACAGTGCAAGCAGCTGATTAAGCGCTCAAACAATAACAAACTGACAAGATCTTTCGCTGTCTATAGCTGGGTACCCATTCCCACCGACCTTACGGTTGCTAGTCCGAGAGCCTAACTACTAGGCCACCGACGCCACATGTATACCCTAACAGCATAACTGTGCATGACGTAATGAGAATGTGTGTGTGTGGGGGGGGGGGGGTGTTATATTTTACATTTACTACTTTTATAACAGAAAAGTAAAGCCGACATACTTTCGTTAAGGCTGGCATTTCCTTCACGGGATAGTTCTGCAGGCAATGAACGACTCCATTGTCGTCACGGAAACCACAGATGACAACAGGAATCCCCACCAGAAAACTCTGGGCCCACCACTTGATCAATTTGAATCTGACAGGAGGGAAAAAAACCATAATATTTTGAGCCCTTTTCCTGCTACATAATCTAACTTACAAATGGTCGATCTTAAGGACAAGAGGGCTAACTCAGATTACGGGGGTTTCAAGAAATCTTGACCTACAACAAAAGTGGGCATTGCCCTACCTATAAGAGAAGTTTGGTTTAATTGATATTTGTTAGGTTATAGAGAAAACTCTCCTGGTCTTTTAAAGAAACTGGACAAGAGCCCAAGAACTTAAACTTTGATTTTCTCAAAACAGCATTTTTAGGGATAGCCCCCTTGTGCTTAAAAGCGACCAACTGTTGGTGCTCCAAGGACAATTGTACAATTGTATCACTTGAAGAGCCTAAACAGCTGGGTGATGGAGACAGATCATGATAATGTTGCTTTTTTTTTACCATCTATGCAAAGGTATGAATAAAGAACCATTACGGCCGATGTCTGTCGCAGATCTAGTACTTGTTGATGCCCATTGCCACAAAAAAGTAATTTCTTACTCATTGATGAAAGCAGAGTCACAATGGCTTGATTCTGTTTCTCAACAATACAACAGAGCTTAATAGAAAACTATTCACCTGCAAAAATTTTCATGTTGCCTTTGGGTATCAATGAGCCGAGAGGTTTTCAGCTCAACGTATTTATTGCCTTGTTTCCGCCAAGGGTCTTCACAATCTACTTCTGCACCAAAAACTGAAAAGATAAAAACCAAAAATTAAAAATAAGAATCTATTTGTCTTTCTACAGATAAAAAGTTTAAACCTGTACTAGACACAGACAAGTCATTTAAAAAGCTGAGGTTTTTGCCCAAAGAAAACAGTAACAAGATTAAGAAGAAGTTAGAGTGAGAGACAGTACTCCATACATTTACTTAATGTATTTCACATAATCTGAGTCATTATAACATGCAAGGTAGGGGGGTAGTATTGGTTGATTGTGCTTATTACATCAATGGGTGGGGGCTTAGAGTGGGAAAGATAGGTTCAATCATTTCTGTTTTTAATTGGTCTATCAATGGTCCTATAATAAGATAAAAGAACTGGTGACCATGGATATTTATTATAAGTAAGACTGATGCATGCCATTCTCAGCACAGAGAGACAAGGATAGCACTCTGGAAGTGTAGTTTTCACTACTACTGCTTGCCAACTATATATAGGCGACCCTTGATCACATCACTTATGGGTTGGCACTCAGGAACACACCTCCCTTCCCCCTCCCTCCTCCTCCTTCTACTTATTCTCTTTTCCCCTGTCCAAGACAGAAAATGTCTAAAACATTTTTTTTTCTGGCTCCCTTGCAATTCCCTCTTGGACAGGTTCAATTGTTATGCCATTCTCTGGTCCAAACCAACCAACTTCGTCAAAGCAATGCCATATAACAATGTGTCTTCTTCCTGACCTGGATCTCGCCCTCAGATCTCAGAGGCAGCAATCTGTAAGTTGCACTCCTTACACTGCTGTTTTCACCCAGTTTTAAAAAGGAAGTTAGTTCCATCATGTAGATGTGTAAATGTAGATAATAGGCATTGTAAGATGTGTAAAATGTCTTAATTCTTATATCAAGGTGTGGGTACATTGGCATTACTGGGGTCTAGCTTATATCAATTTTAGAATGTGCCAATAACAACAATAACAACAACAACAACAACAACAACCAGAAAGCACATGTTGTAACAGAATGTCAAAAGTCAAAGTAAAAAAATGAAGCTAACCTAATGAATGGGACTCAAGCCGAGATCGTACAATAGTACAAAAACCTTCATTAGTGTTGACGGGTTTTGAAGTGTCTGGTCTTTCACTTGATTTGTCTGTAATTGGAGATGTAAAATCATGAGCAATTGTATCATAAAAGGTTAAAAAAACCTGAAAAAAGTGTATCCTAACGCTACATCATTATGACTATTATGAGCAAAGTAGGAAAATACAAAGAAAGAAAAGGACCAAAAAAACATATCTGATCTAGCAATCATTACAAAAAGCTGCTGCCTGAAGTACATCTTTCATAAAACCTATCTCAAAAACATCAACCGCAAACATTTACCATCATCAGCTATCATGCTAAGATAAAAAGATAAAATCTTGTTTTTAAAACTCACATGATTTGCCCAGATAAGACATGCACAAAAAATGATTGAATTCTACTCTTCTTTTTGATTACGTACAATTTTGTACTGTTCTAATAGCCCTCATGAATCAAACAGGACACTGAAGTGGAGTAAAGACTAAGAAAGGAAGAACAAGGAGGAAGAGAAAGACCATACCACCAGTGTACAAAAGTAAATTTAACACATGAGCATCTATGAGCTTAGACAGATGTTAATCATCATATATATCATATTTGATGCTATTCCATTCCATGATCAGAGGGGTTGCACACTCCTGCTGGGGAAAGAGTGAATCCATCTATTACCCCCCCCCCCCCCCCCCCAAAAAAAAAACCCTCTCAATTTTGGAGTGTTCACTACATCCCTGGGTTGTAATAAAATATACATTGTCTTGTACAACAAATTACTTGTTCGAGAGGGAAAAAAATGGTTTTATGATACCAAACTCCTTTATGTGAAGACATTGTAATTACCTGCAACAACATACTGCTCAAATTTGAAACCCCAAGCACACATCTGCTCCTGTCGTGGCGTGGTCTGCTGTTTCTCTAGTTTCTTTGACTCCGTTTCGAATTCGCACATGTAGTATGTCCCTCGAAACTTGATGACAGCCAGCATAAGACCATCTCTTTTTTCATATGGCACGCACAGCAGCTTGGTGAGCAAGCCCCTCCAGCAAACAAAATCTGTCGATAGACTACACAAACATTTGCTAATTTAATAGGGCCTACACAAAATTTGAAAATATCTTGGGGGGGTACCCATAGTATTTTTTTTTTCTTGGAAAGTGTTTTACGGCGCTCGCAACTCTGCATAAGGTCATATGAGCGCACGGGACACACCTAATATTTTCAGTTGGTAGGAAATTTAGAATTTTGCCCGGGTGGCAGCCGAAGCCTACTCTTATCGATTTTAGACCACCAAGGGATCTTTAACATGCGCAACTTGCACACGGGCTCTCCGAGATTTTTCGCCCTTGTCCGAGAAGGCTAGGTGTAGATCTTTCCTACCAGAAGATCAGGGGTGATGCAGAAAGACAGCAGTAAGGAGGAGCCAAGGAGTAGCAGTAGAAAGGCTGCAGAAAGAGTCAGGAGCCCAGAGGGGGGGAGGGGCAAAGGAGGTGACGGGGTGGAGGCAGAAAGTGGAAATGAAAGCAGACAACAGAACATAGCTAGAGAGCAGGAAAGAAGGTGAAAGGAGACTATTTTAGAGAAGAAAATTTTTCGGTCGCTACCCGGATTCGAACCCGGGACTTTTGTATGAGAGGCCAACACCTCAACCTCTAGGCCACGAGAGCCCCCACCCATAGCATTAGGTAAGATAACATGATCTTAACATTGTGTATTAAGATGACAAACATTAAATTAACAAATCCTTTTGGGATGAACATGTTTACAGGTTATTATGCATGAAATATAGCAGCATTTGAACTTACATTTTATTGAAATATGGTTCATATATTATATATATTATATAATATATATAGGCACCAAAATTTAAATATATATAAAAACAATGCAGAGGGGACGATCTCCATTATTTTAGTAACAGCTTTTCGAGAAAAGGCTAGTACATCATGGCATAGAATATAATGGAATCTACATTTTTTAAATATCAGCTCTATATAGATCTATACATTTCTAATCTAGATCTAGATCTAGAGTTTTTATCTGTATAATGACACTTTTAAGACTGCCTTCTATCTTTTATCTTAAAAAAACAACTAGTGAAAAACAAAGAGATCGTTTCAACATCATTAGCCAGTAACATTGAAATATCTCTGAAAACTGACAAACCTTTGGAATTTTAGATCATCTGACGATTTTGTTTTCACAGCATCCTCTGTCATTCCAGAACTGCAACTGCCCTTTGACGGAGTTTTCTTCACCACAAATCTGTCTCTGCTCTCCATAATCCACTGAAGAAGAGTATGTAAGTACTCTTTCACGCTCTCATCTTTGTGTATCATAATCTCATAGCCATGTTTCAGATCAAACCTGCAATGTCCAGGATCTTTTGGAGGAAAATAACTTTTCAACTGCCGCTTGTCATTGTGAAACTGCCTGTCAGCGTCGAGGCTAAAGGTTCCAATCTCTCCTGGCTCTCGGAAGTACGGAAAACTTTTTTCAAATCGATATAACGGAGACGTCTTGAGAGCCGGACTTGCTGACTCTGTGCTGTGCCGTTTATGCGACCCAACAGATTGTTCCATTGTCATGTACTCTATTCTTGATAGATCTAGATCTAGATCTAGAATCTAGATCTAGTCAGCGTTTTTTATTTTTATTTTCAATTAAGTCAAAAGACGCAGTGGCAATCAGAGAAAAGCCTACTGGAACATGACACATTCCTTTGGCCAGCAGAATTTTAAAGTTTATGATGTCGCAAATAGCAACAGAATTCAGAATCTCTAATCTAATGTTCAAATTAATTCACGAACCACCTCAAAACTTGAATCAATGTGGGTTATAAATTCACTTCTTGTTTTAATTTGTCAAAGTTTAGGCAAAAGGCTGCGGATCTAACTGAAACCAAAACCGAGACACTAGATCTAAATGTCACTAACACACAGCTGAGGAAACCCTGAATTCTGAATAGTCAACGGGACAACAGTTCATTACATTAGATCAAGTAGAGTACAGTACAGTAGGCCTACACACACAGCGCAGCAAGTGGAAGAAGAGAGGGACACTGCCTCTCCGATTAGAGGTTACACTTGGAAATCCTACTGCTTGTTGAAGTTGATTCGTATTCAAGGAACAAAGTAAAAATCATTCCTTTCAATTTCGGTTTAATAGATGCATATCTAGGTCACAAGATAAGTCTGGGTACGATCTGCTACTATCAGTATACTTAGTATAATACTAGATCTAGATCTAGGCCCTAGATCTAAATCAGCAGTCAGTAGAATTCGAAAGGAAAAGTAAATTCATAGCCAAGGGCAGATTACTCCACGTAAGGCGGAACAGGAAATATTCATGTAAATTGGTAATATGCCAGTTGGCCTAGCCTATGTCAAATGAGGAAGTAAAAATTGTCACTGAAACTGTGAAATGTTATTTTCCATCCACCTAGCTTTACTTAAAATACCATAATTATTTATAATTAGTATGTTATTCATAGTACATTGATTTATTGAAAATGTAAACAAGCTTTGAAAATATTCAAGCATTTTTAACATCACAACATTGAACGACCCTGGCTTAAAGGAAGAGACGTTTCTCCACAATCTCTGTCTGTCTATCTATTCCATTGACAATTTTGACAAAATGGCGACGTCTAAGGGAGCAAACACGTACAACAGACAAAATTGGGAAGATGCTGTGAGTTTATCTAGTTTACCTTCCTATGTCACTCTGAGTTTGAAAATAACAACAGATAATTTGTTTTTAGTTGATCTGTTCTTTTTCTTAATTTTGAGAAGAAGCTGAACGTCCTGTTCTAGAGATTGACCAATCTATCCAAATATCGATAACCAAGCAGTGACTTTCCCTAACTCCAACTCCAGTGCAATAACAATTTGTAGTACAGTCAAACCTGTGTAAGACGGCCACACATTGTCAAGGAGAAAAGTGGCAGTATAACACAGGTGGCTGTCTTAGGCAGGACTGATCAAGATGAAAGAAAACAAACCATTCTCATTCCCATCTGAGGTCCCAATCGAAAGTAGCAGCATTGTCATTGTTGTTGTTGTTGGTTTGTATTTTGTCTGTAATTTTTATTTTGTTGCTGGTTTTAAGGGTGACAATACAACCAAATTTTCAGACGAGGAAGACCGAGTGCCATATTAAAACAAACACATGGGTCCTTGGGTTGCCACCACTCGGAGTCGGAGAACGAGCGACGCTTCTGTCACAAGTCACAAGTCACAAGTTCATGTTGACGTCCTTTTTGTTACTTTGTTACAGACTGGGTAAACAGTGACCACTTATCTCACTTACGATTTGTGTATGAGTTCTGGGCGGGGCTTATGGGTTATAAGGGATCACACGCAACCTCACCAGCAGCTGAAAATTAAATTGGTAGCTAATGAACGGTCAATAGTGGGAGGGGCCTACGCAACATGATCGGTTGGAGGGACTACCTTTAAAAACAACGACAGGTGATTGAATTATGACGGCTCGCCCACAACTCACAACGCCAGAGGCCAATGCAAACTTTATGTGACAAAACGTTATGGAGTCAAAGGTGGCCGTCTAAGACAGGTGTGATAGGGGTTGTGTGTTGAAATATGGCGGCCGCGTTGGACAGGTGCCCGTTATACACAGTTAAATATAGAAAAAACATAATGGGGGGAATGGAAAGTGACCAATTGTAGAGGTGGCCGTCAGGGCCAGTTTGACTGTAGATCTAGCCTAGACTAGTAGTAGGCCTAGATCTAGCAGAGATGCCTACCAGTACGATTTTACATATTTTAGTACGATTTTTTGGCGAAAATACGCGAATACGACTTTTCATGAAAAAATATGCATCCTGGAATGCGAAAAATACGAGATTCAGCTTGGGCGAGGAAACCTAATTTTATCTCAGTCCCATCTTTTGCCAAAATAGTATCAGTGTGGCGGAAATGGAATATTTGAAAACCAAGTCCGATAAGGTCAGTAACTTCATTTTTGCCGGTCGCGATTGTGATATTATATTCGTTCACCTTTTCCCTGTCGGTGAGTATGTTTCACGCGAACAGGCGGCTATGGCGGCAGGCGGAAGTGTATGTGACACAGATGCTCGATCGGGAAAATCAAGATCTACTTTCGCTTTCGTTACCGCCGTTTGCCAGCGGTAGTCTGATAACGCAACATTTGTGACATGCAGGTTGTACAGTGTAAACGCTGTGTTGCCGTGCAAATAAAATTTAATCAACACTCGGACTCGTCCCTGTGCTGTCACGTGTGGGAAAGAAAGAAACGAAAATACAAGCGTCGTCCAATTTTTAGATTGTCTGGCTGGCATCGTGACCGGTCACTGAACCTGCGCGCTTTCGCATCATAAATAAATGAGGCATCGTGTGAGCTAAGACCGTCTTTAGTTGGAGTTTCTGCGTTGTGAAGTATAGGACTACGGAATAGGGGAGGGGATTATTTTATTTTTTTAAAGATACACTCGGGGGGGGGGGGCGAAGGCAACACCAGAGGACAAAAATTTGGAAGCAAATTTCAGAATTTTGATTAGAGCTTTCTGCAAATGCGCGTTGGTGCAGGCCGTGTGCGGAATCCCCTACTGGGCCGCTGTCCCTGGACCCTGCTGGCCGCAGCAGAATTTTCCTTACTTTTCAGCTTCAGCTGGTGGAAGCACTGAGCAAGACTCAAAAGTAGTTCCAGCTTCGTTCGGTGTTCGATCCGCCAAAGTTCGATCTTACCGGTCTGAAAGTAGGCCCAAAGTTTGGCAAACGCAAAGTTTTTACCGGATCAGATATGTATATTTGCTTTCCATTTTGATGCCTATGCCTAGCACTAGCACAGAATCTACAGTGCTATCACAGTCTCAGTAGCCTACTCAGTACAGCAACAGTTAGTCTGTAGGCCTACACTGTACTTTAGACTGTAGATCTATCTAATCTAGATCTAGTCTGCTTTCTTTTAGCTGGATCCAGTTCAATACCATAAGGCTTATTCTGGGCCTCTATAGTTTATAGTTTGTATAGAGTGCACTTGTCTGTCCGCATTTAAAAAAAATCTAGATCTATACTTATTTTTTTAGGTGTCTACTAATTTTCTAAAAAATTAGGTAGCCTGAGGTAAATAGATCTAGGTCTAGGCCTAGGCCTATAATGCGATATATATACTAATTGTGACTAGACTAGTCCTGGAAGTCCAGGGATCCTACTCACTTCACTGACACTGTAGTCATTTCAAGGCGTATATTGTCTCCAGACTGCTGTAAACCTGGCCACCTGGCAGAGAGGGTTTTTTTTTTTTCAGGAGGACTTCCGTAACGAGCGACCACTATGAGACAGAGTAGAACAGAGGAGTCAGGGGAGAGGGGTAGGGTTATGATTAGGGTTTAGGTTAGGGTTTGGTCTCTTCTTTATTGTGTTTGTTGGGGTAGTCACTCGTTACAGAAGTCCTTCCTTTTTTTCGCTCAGAATGTTCTTTTGATTTTGATGTCAGAAAGGTACACATAGGCTATTTGTTTACTACACATATATAATTATCATGTTTTATTTTGTTCTGTCATGCTAAATATAATGGTTGCTATCTTTTTTTTTCAGGAATTCCCTATACTCTGTCAGACGTGTCTCGGTGACAATCCATACATTCGGATGGTAAGTTTTTTTTTGTCAGTGACAATTATTTTACTTTTATCAAAAACGGTTTATATCGTAGGCCTATTTTTTAAAAATAATTACAGAATTGTCTAATAACTTACCATTGGAAATGTAGGGGGGGGGGGGGAGAAAAATTGAAGCTTTTTAAAGTTCTATCAGACTTTGATTTTTTTAATTTAAAAAAAAAATTATACTGGATAGTAATTTAACAAATTTGTTTTGTCACATCTATTTCAGTGGTCGTATTTAAGTCATGCTCACAGATTATATACACACATCTTAATAAATACAAGTGTAAATTAAATGTGAATTTAAGTTTTTGCAAGTAAAAAAAGTACATGTAAACTATCATTGAATTCAATTCTGTCATCAGATGAAAGAAAAATATGGCAAAGAATGCAAGATCTGTGCCCGACCATTCACTGTATTCAAATGGTGCCCTGGAGCCAGGATGAGATTCAAGAAGACGGAAGTATGCCAGACGTGTAGCAAAATGAAAAACGTTTGTCAGACGTGTCTCTTGGACCTTGAATATGGTATGTTTGAGTTTGTCGTTACGTGACATTGAGAGTTGGCGCTTGTTTTTTTAAATATATAAGTTGATTGAGAATATATGTGTCCCGATGTGGTGGAATCAGGCGCTCGTCTTAAAGCTTGATCATCTGTCTTGCTTTGGATGAGAAAAATATCCATTTGTCTTGAATACAAATCGAGAAATTTGCAAATGAAGGAGGTGGGGGTCACCTGGTTTCAGATTTTTAAAAAAAGGTTAGTGAGAAAATGGCTGCCAAAAATTTAGTTTTCTCCTTAGCTTTAGAGTCCGTGGAAACTGAAAACATACATTTTTATGACTTTAATCAACATTTTTCCAGTAAAATCCCCCCAGAAATGTGTTCCTTATTGAACAACATTGGTGTTCGGCAAAAAAAAAAAAAAAAATTCGATAAAAATTGCCAAACTGGCAGAAAAATGCCAGTTTCTCCAATTTCATTGTTTTGACGAGCGCCGGATTTCACCACACTGCCTCGAGTATCGCACTGAAAGTCTTTAACTGTGTTGACCAAGTGTTGCTCCTACCTCACCTCTTGCTGTTTGTACTTCTCTGTTGACATCCACCCCTTGGCGTTCATATGACCTTATGCAGTTGTGAGCGCCGTAAAACCGTACTAAAACTAACATCATCTCTGGCTGACATATCATAATCCAACCCTGGAAAAACTCATTTGCTATTAACTGATATTTTTGTTTTTGTAGACTCTTGAATTGTGAAAGTTGAAATGCTTGTGTGTAGTATTTTGTCTCCCTAAATGTTCACAGGTCTTCTCAATTACTCTTTTGAGGGTGGTTGGTGAGTGCTCTAGTGTGGTGTGCTCTTTTTTCCTATCAAACATCTGTCGTCCTTTTCTCCCCTCCTTCTATTTTGTGTTTGTTACCTCTCTTGTAACACCTCAAATCCTGGGCACTTATATGACCTTATTGTGTTGCAAGTGCCGTAAAACTCTTACTAAAACTAAACAATTACTCTTTTGGCTGGCCTGCTCTTTCCGGTGTACTACTTCAGCCCCCCCTGGAGGCGTACTACACTTTGCCCATTGGCTAAGCGCACACCAGTATTTTTGCCAAATTTTGTCTGTGTTGATTTGCCAAGTATCTTTTTTGCAGCTTGAGAAACCAAGGCAAATAGATAAAGTACTTTTTAATTTAAGTTAAGGGTGTGGCGTCCTGTTTGACAGAACCAGGAATCAAACTCATATTTTATAGGTCCAACTTCTGCCTTCTACGCAAGGAAGTTTGATGGGGTTTTTTGTTTGTTTTTTTAGGGGGAGGGGGGTTGGGTTTTTTTTTTGGGTTTTTTAATTTTAAAAATTATACCTTTTTTTGAGGAATATTCTGAGCTTTCCTTGATGAAAGTGTATTTGTACGTAGTGTTCTGGCCTCTTTGGATGAGCCGCAGAGGTCAGTAGAGGTGAAAAGATCTTCTTTCCCCCCCACCCCACCCATCCCCTACCCTTGTAGCTTATTTTTTGGGAAAATGTCTTACTGTGTGCACATTTCATGAGAAATGCTTCTATGCAATTTCAGGTTTGCCTGTCCAGGTTCGAGATGCTGCTTTGAAGCTCCAGGATAACATGCCCAAATCCGACGTTAATAAAGAGTACTACACACAGAATATGGAAAGAGAGGTAGGCAGTTTAGCTAGCTTGGCGGTTCATGATTTTAAACTGCATCGATTTGAATTGTTGAAAATGTTTATTCCTAGAGAATTGTATGTCAATGCAGAATTTTCATTTTTGGCGATGTATTTAATGTATTTTTTGGGACCCCTTTCTTGGCTAGAGTCATGATGCTGGACCGTTGTGAATATCTGTTTCATGTTCCTTTTTCAGATAGCGGATGGTTGGTGGGTGCTTTGGTGTGGTTTGCTCCTTCTTTCTTATCTAACATCTAATGTCCTTATCTTCCCTCCTTTTTTGTGTTTGTTACTCTCTTGTACACCTCCAATCTTCAGCATTTACGTGACTTGTGTTGCAAGTGCCATAAAACTTTTACTGAAACTAATACTTTTTTCAGATAGCAAACAGTGACGGTATCTCGCCTGTGGGAGCTTTGGCGGGGAAGGCACAGACTCCTAGCGACATGTTGCTCAAACTGGCAAGAACAACTCCTTACTACAAGAGAAATCGGCCTCACATCTGCTCGTTTTGGGTGAAAGGAGAGTGTCGGCGTGGCCAGGAATGTCCTTACAGGTACGCAGTTTCTGCAGTTTTTTTCTGCTTTTTCTGGTTTTTCCATACACTTACAAAAGAAAGGGGAATGGTAAGAGAAATGTTTTTATTTGCTCATTTAAAGATTTTACAAAGTACGTGTTAGGTGAGATATGATGCTCCGCTCATTTTCAGGTTTTTTTTTCCCCAAATCATTTGGCATCCCTGTTTCTGGGATATGTGTGCGTGCATGTGTTTGGAACAAGGCGGAAAGGGAAATCTTTCTTAGAGCTTGAGTCGACAGGTGAACTGATTTGATGTGAAGATGTGAAGGCAGGAGGGTTTTTTTATGAAGCTGAGCATGAAAGTCCAACGTAAGAAGACATTCTCAAGGATAAGATTTTGTTAGTCAATTGTTCATTAGGTGGTTTGTTTTTTTTAACAAAAGAACAGTAGACCTACTACCATTTGCTAAATGTTCAATGGTACCTTAGAAACCCTGTTAAAGGGTCGTAAATGATATTTTGTCTTTTGATTTATTTTAGGGGTTCTTTTTTTCAATGCTTTTGTGTTGTGGAGTAGTGACTTTGTATTCAAAAATGTTTAGCAAAGAGAAAAAAGTATATTACTGCATATATATATGGCTGATGTGTATTGTTTATTTTTCCTCCAGGCACGAAAAGCCGACAGACCCAGACGACCCCTTGGCAGATCAGAACATCAAGGACAGATTTTACGGAATGAATGACCCGGTAGCGGACAAACTTCTCAGTCGTTACAGCAGCATGCCCAAGCTGGAGCCTCCGGAAGACAAGACAGTCACCACCCTCTATGTGGGAAATCTGGGGGACAAAGTCGGGGAAACAGAGTTGAGGTTAGTTGTGTTCAGATTTGTGGTGATTCAGACTGAAAGGGGGGGGGGGGGGGGGGGGGGGGGGGGGGGTATAATTTATTATCATGATTTTTCTTTCTGAGAAGTTCAGCTTTTTTTTCTCTTCATCTTTAGAAACAATTCTGTTCACCCCTTCCATTTACCAGCATCTATTCTATGGTATAATGTTAATGCTCTGGTCTCTGGCATGCAAAGTATGTGGTTGGCGGGTGCTCTGGTGTGGTTTGCTCCTTCTTTCGTATGAAACATCTGTCGTCCTGATCTCTCCTTATTTTTTTTGTTTGTTACTCCCTTGTAACACCTCTGATCTTCGGCACTTACATGACCTGATTGTGTTGTAAGTGCTGTAAAACTCTTACTAAAACAAAGTATCTTAGTTCACTTTTCACGGTGGGAAGTTGTAAATTCTCTTGAGTGTCTCACCTGTCTGCTGGGATGCTGCATCCTTTTCAGCCTTTGCTGGCTGTGCTGGAGCAGTCAGCATTTGAGTGAGTTTTCAAAAAATTGTGGGTACTTCTTTATTTCTTCACTTTGTATCATGTATAGTCAAACCTTCTCAAATAGCCACATGTCAAAAGACAATCACCTCTACAAAGGACCACTTCCCTCTTCACCCCCCCCCCCTTTTAAAATTTTTTTCCCCTTCATTATGAAGGTGAGTTCCAAGACATCCACTTGTCCAGGACAGCCCCTTTTCTCCTCCACGGTGAGGGCTGTCTTGGGACAATTTTTTACTGTATTTTGCTCTAGAATAAGTGTGTTCTTTGTTAGTCAAGTTTCTCTGTCTTTGTTGAAGTTGATGGGATTTTAATTTGTGTGTGGGTGCGGGGTTTTTTTGTCCTCCACAGGGATTATTTTTACCAGTTCGGTGAGATTCGTTCCGTCAACGTGGCGAAACAGCAGTGTGCGTTTGTGCAGTTCACCAACCGGGCGTCGGCGGAAGCGGCCGCGGAGAAGGCGTTCAACAAGCTCATCCTGTGTGGCCGGCGGCTGAACATCAAGTGGGGTCGCTCCCAGGGACAGCAGACGCTGGCGGTGAAGAAGGGCGAGGGTCCGCCCCAGCCTGCCCTGGAGCCTGTACCTGGCTTGCCTCAAGGTACGTTCTCCGGTTTGCTTTGCCTGCTTGATTTCAGGTGTTTTCAAGGGGGGGGGGGGGGGTGTCGTTGTTGTTGTGTGTGTGTGTGTGTGTGGTAGCCTATCCGTTCAAAATGTTTGGAGTCCCGAAGAGCGTGCTCTTCGCCAGGGCCACTGCCTCTCTTGGTTAGCGGGTGAGGCAGTCCAACCTTCCTGGATCCTCCCCAAAGAGATGCCACCGCCGGATGTTGTTGTTTTTGTTAGCGATCCAGTAGCATCTGAGCATTAACTGTTCTGCATGATGCCATTCTGTAATAGCTGACTGTCTGTCCTAATTGTTGTCTTGAGGAGTAGAGGCAGTTGGGTGTGTGGGGTAGCTTGGGAAGAAAACATTCCCCCAGATCGGTTAGTTTTCTACAGAAGAACAGACGATGTTCCACTGTCTCTGAGTGGTAGTCACATAGTGGGCAGGCAGCAGACTGCTTTACTCCAATTCAGTTGGGTGGGGGGGGGGAGGTGTCAAATTGAAATAGTGTTTCAGGTTGCGCACGAGAAAACTTGTTTAAATAAAACTTTTTTTAAAAAACAATAGTATGAACTAAAACAGACTAAAGTTAAAAATAAAACTAATTAAAATCAACCAGTTTTCGCTCTGATGTCGGTGCTGGATGTTTTCCATCTTTTCTTTACAACAAATTTCATTTGTGTTTGGAGTATGCTTTTGTTTAATGGCGAATCACAGGGTGGACTACCTAAAATTCTTCTAAAATTTGGCTGTTTTTTTTCTCCCCAATTTGTTAAAAATCACACAGTAACATACACACCACACACACACACACACACACACACACAAACAAACAAAAAAAACCAACAACCCCACACTCACAAAACTCTTCACACGCTCAGTAAACTGATCATACTAATATTAGGTACCAGAAAGTGAATTTTCCAAGTTGCCGTATGTCAAATGTATCTGTTCCATATGAAAGGCCTATATCTCCTGAGAAATTCGGTACCCATTCTTTAACCTCTCCGTCAATTTTAAAGAAAATGGTAGCTGTTTAAAATTTGATCAAATTTGTCTCTAAATGGCTGTTTACGCTACCTATTAATATGTCCTCCCATCTCCCCCCAGCACTGCCGATGCCGCCAGAAGAGCTGACCAACAACTACTTCAACCTGGCCGGCCCCGGAGTCCCACCCCCTCAGCCGTTTGGCCTCCCGCCCCGAGGACCCATGCGTGGCCCGCCCGGCGGCCCACCAAACGGCCCACCAGGGGGTCCTCCAGGCGGCCCACGGGGCTTCCCTCCCATGATGAGGGGCCCTCCACCACCCATGCCCTTTGGCATGCCCAGAGGACCGCCTCCACCCGGTATGTGTGTCTTACTTCTTTGTCTGTACTTGAAGTGAATTTGGCTGGGTGGTCTATTCCAAAGTGGGTTTTTTAATTTTTTTATTTTTCATTCTCTCCTCCCCCCCCCCCTATTTTAGGGGGGGGGGGGGTGTGAGAATTTTACACGGCACTTGCTGCACAATGAGGTCTTATAGGTGCCAAAGATTATGTCACCTCAGGACTATTTATTTGTCCAAAGTGTACTTATCTGTAGAGTGCGCTTTGGACTAAATAGTTCTCAGGGGAAGATAAGAGGTGTTACTTGAGGAAATAACAAAGAAGGGAAAAAAAAGGGGAAAGCAATTATAAGGATGATAGATGTTTGATGGGGAAAGAAGGAGCAAACCACACCAGAGCTGTTGCCAAGCACTAATTTATATATATTTTTTTTTACTGTAACTCATTGAGCCACACAGTATCCTGCTTTTTCTACTTTATTTTTCTACTTTGAAGCATTTAGAAAAAGATCCTTTTTGGAACAGTTCTTACCAAAAGATTCGCCTTATGAGAAAATGAGACAAAAACCACTCATGTCTTGTGCATTGAAGTTGCGAGTTGTTCTAATGGATCCATTGTGTGCTTGCGATTTGTTCTAATGGATCCATTATGTGCTTGCGAGTTGTTCTAATGGATCCATTGTGTGCTTGCGAGTTGTTCTAATGGATCCATGGTGTGCTTATTTTGTTAATGTTTTACCCTCCTATAAAATATTTTAAAAAATAATTACACTTTTATTTGTCTCAGAGGGGCACTTTGGTTTACAATGGCAAACATACATATTCATACATCAATACATAATTATGAATACGTACATACATAAATACACACTGTTACACAAATACAGAACATTTAACAACCATGCCACTGTCAGTCGCCACTGTGCAGCGTCCTCTATTTTGAGCTAGGGTTGTCGTTTCTTGCTCAAAGACACACTCCAGTGACCACCCATCTGATCCCCATTTCACCGACACTTGCTTGACATTACTCCTCTCAATTCAGATCATTTAGGTGGTTTACTTCTTCAGTCCCACTTTTCTTTTTCTTACCCTCTGTATTTCTGTCTTTCTGTCCTACTTTTTTTCTTTCTTTCCATCTCTTTGTTTCTGTCTTTCTGTCTTACTTTTCGCCTGCACTCATTATGGTGTGGATAATGTGATTCCCTTTACTCAAACAAACCCCCGCGGCTGGTCATGCGTGACAAACTGGTGATTTAGAGTTGGAGGGTGCTCTGGTGTGGTTTGCTCCTTCTTTCATATGAAACATCTGTCGTCCTGATCTCCCCCCTCCTTTTTTGTGTTTGTTACTCTCTTGTAACACCTCTAATCTTCGGCACTTATATGACCTTATTGTGTTGCAAGTGCCGTAAAACTCTTACGAAAAATGACAAGCTGGTGGTTAAAGTTGGAGAGCGCCACTGTTAAGTCCTGCTTGTTTACTTTTCCTCTGTTGTTTCTGTCTGTGTGTCTTACTTTTTGACCAAGTGGCGGTGACACAGGGATCGGATGGGTGGTCACTGGGGTGTGTCCTTGAGCAAGACACGAAAACCCTGGAGCAAAAAAAACTGGGCGGTGCACAGTGGCGACCAGCATTGGCAATGTTGTGAAATTCTTCTGCATTGGTGTAATATTGTGTATTTTTATTTATGTATGTATTTATAATTATTTATGTGTTCATGTATTTATAATTATATATATTTATGTGTGTTTACCATTGTAAACCAAAGTGCCCTTCTGGGATCGTTTTAAAAAAAAATTAATTTAAATTTATTATATATATAATAATATATTATTATTTATTATTGATGTACTTCCTGTACTCAAACAAAACATGGTTGTGACACACACACATTTTCCTTCGTTTGCCCTCCCCCCCACCCCCACAGGAATGCGAATGCCCCCACCCCCGCCCGGAGTCCTGCCCATGAGGCCCCCACCAGGCATGCCCCCTCCGCAACAGCAACAACAACAGCAGCCCCCGCACGGTGGCCCCGGTGGTCCCCCTCCAGGCCACGGCCGCGCCGTCCACTACCCCTCACAAGACCCGACCAGGATGGGAGCCATGAAGAACCCGCCGGGGCCCAACAAGTCCAAGCCCGGCAGAGAGACTTGATGATTGTGTTTGTCGTACTAGTGCTAGTTTTATTGCACCGTCTGCCGAGACCGTACGCTGCGAGACGGTTCGCTCCTCTGTCTGTTGGAGGTTATTTAGAAAAAACGTTCTCCGAAACGCTGGTGGTAACGTTTATATATTTCAAAATGAGTCACTCTTTTGTGTGTGAGGTTTTTTAGAAAAACGTTCTCCGAAAAGCTGGTGGCAACGTTTATATATTTCAAAATGAGTCACTCTTTTGTGTGTGAGGTTATTTAGAATAACGTTCTCGGAGAAGCTGGTGATAACATTTATTTATAGTACGAGAAGGGTCACTCCTCTACGTGAGATTACCTGATGGAACACCACTCTATGTGAGAATTTAGAAAACTGTTCTCAGGACAGTTGGTGGTAACAGTAACGCTTTTATTATGGCTTGTTTGATACTGTTTGTTATGAGGGATTGATTATAGAGTCGAAGTTGTCTAGAGGAAAAGTGGTTGTCGTAGATAGGTGGACTCATTGACAGTGTCATGATATTTTTAAAAACACAAGAGATGAAGTGGTCAGCTGTACAGATGAAGTGGTCAGTTGTACAGATGAAGTGGTCAGTTGTACAGATGAAGTGGTCAGTTGTACATGTGATTGTCTTGGACAGGTTGCTATAATGGCAGGTTTGACTGCGTCTTGTATGTAAAGAGAAGGAGCAGAGATGTTCTGGAAAGAACTTTTCTTTGTGAGACAGAACGGCATGTTTTTACCAGGGCCAGTAGTAGCAACATTACAAAATATTATTGCACTTTTGGGTTTTTTGAGGACGGTTTTCTGGAGAGAGAGAGAACTGTCTTTTGATAGTTGTGTTTTGGGTCATTTGTGTTCTACTTACAAAAAAACATTGTTGACTCTGTTGAAAATAGGGAGTTGGAAATGTGGGTAGTTTTGTTTTGAAAGGGAGAGTGGGGTCGGGTGAACAGTTGTTATACGTGTAATGTTAGTACGTTATGTTGAAGGTAGAAATATTTTTTGACCTGTGTTCTTCATTTATTGCATATATATTTGTGCTCACTTCATTTTCCCGGCAAAAGAATAAAGAAAAAAATGCTGTGTACTAATGAGTGATTGTTTTGTTGTTTTTTTTCTTCTGTCGTTTCCCTACTTTACTGTCTGTGTACAGTGGTGTGTATCATCAATAAGGTCTTTACTAGAGACTAGAGTATACTAAAGGCATACCGGGAACTGGAAGCTCAAACGTTTTCACATGATATTCCTCAGAACTTGTGGCTTACTTTACTTTTTTACTTTTCCGATCCAACGGCCATTTGGGTTCTAGCACTTCGGTCTGTCCATATGGCAAAGAATTTACAGGTTTTAATCAGCTGAACTTTTGGCTTCAGTCAAAGGGGTGGACAAAATAGAGACACCATAGTTCTCATACTCGTAATCGTAAGGGCATTTGTTGAGTCTTGTCTCTAACCGCAAGAGGAGTCAATTTCTGAAGTTGTCTTTTGGCCATTCCCAAAAGGGGGATATTAACATGTTCTAATGCACAGTAGAATTGTAAATGTGTTAGACTTAGACTTTGTGCTGTTCAGGCTAGAGAGGTGAGCAGAGTAAGCCGGATTCCCCGTTTGGACTTATCTGTTGACATCCACCCCTTATGCAGTTGCGAGGGCCGTAAAACCTTACTAAAACTAAACTAAACTAAAAGCTTAACATCAGGCGAAACAATTCCCTCTACCACATTCAACTGGGATTGAATTATTTTGTATCCAAATCCAACCTTTAGGCTCTAATTCAAGAGAGGGTCTCTACTCTGTGGTTTCGGGGTTTTTTATTTTCAACCCACTATATATTCAAAGTGTGAACAAAAGCCAGTTAAAATAATTTCCAAACAGTTTACATGGACAAAGACAAGGCAAAACAGCGTCTAACATATGAAAATATCAAAGTACTGAGTTGAACAGCGTGCTCTTGCTTTCCTGTTGTTTGTTTATACGCGCTGGTTACTGTTTCCAAGGGGAGCCAGTTAGACCGGAAATGAGGCCTATTGTCCCATCATGGTATTTTTCAATCTTGGGTGGTGAGATACTTTATTGACACGTGATCCCCGGAAGAAGACTGAAACGTGCGTTTGGCGTCATCATTTATTATGTATGTTGGACGAGCGATTACCCCACTGTGTATGCTGTTCTTGACGAGCGGCTACACACTTCCTTTTAAAATATTCCTGAGTCACTGTACTGGGTTTTTTTTCGGAAACACACTGTAATCCCGTGATAGATTCAATACGGCTGATTTTTTTTATTTTTTTTTAATGATATAAAAAAATCCCCTCCCCTAATCAAAGATAATAAATTTGTGTGTCAAGTTTGAGGTTTAATTTCCAATATTTTCTTAGGAAAACGTCTGTCCTCGTAACATGGCCAAAAAATCCAAAAAGTTCGCCACAGACAGTTACTTTTTCTTAAAAGATAATAATAAATTCACGCATACCGTAATTCTTGTAATTAAACTACACATGTATAATTAGCGTATCTCACGTTAAAGAAAAACAACCTAAAAGGAAGTCACTTCCCTAAAAATGTCCTCGTATCATGACGCTACTGAGAGCACTTTTTAATAACAGTCAACAAATTGACTCATCGTAGTCTAATTCTTAATTAACCCATACTTAGCTTATATTACTTAACCCTATCCGTACGTCGTGTTTTACTATCGTATCCATACGACGTTGCAGTTGCACCACTCTGTGCCACCACTTTCCAAACAGGAAATTTACTCTTTAATCCGATCCGTACGCTTTGCACAGAAATTTGTCAAAATGATTTTTTGAGAAATACTGAACGTTTCAAAGAGATCTTCGCACTAGAAGTATTCTAAAATGTGAAGAATACAACCCCGAGGGTACAAAATGACCCCAGGGCGTACGGATAGGGTTAAGGAAAACCCCCAGAAGAGAAGTTTAGTCATTTCCCTCCAAAGTTCCCCGTGTCATGAACGTCAGGTCGTCGAGAAATATCTCGCCCACTCGGGCTATGAACAGATCCTGATCTGTGTGTGGTCAGTCAAAGAGGCTCAACAATATGCCATTGTCGTCGCTTGTAATATTAAATCTACTCGAGAGGGTCACTCAGAGGCCTCACGTGCCTCCACCACAAGTCCAACAGCCTGTCTGGGGAATCAACGTATGAAAGAAGTTTAACTGAGTAAAAAAGGACGAAGTACAGTTGAACCTGTCCAAGAGGACCATCTGTTGTCGGAGAAGAGTGGTCAGTTTAAATTTGTCCCCGTCGTTTTATACAAGAAAAATTCTGAAATTATGCAAACTGAGCCCAAAAATGAGAAATTATGCGATTCTGTTGATTTTTAACAAAGAATGATAAAAGAAAATAATCAGAAATAATGAAAAAAATGATCAAATTTTGCTAAATTATGCGGGGTGCATAAAACCACGGGGACAGAACAGCCGTGCCCCCTACACCGAGGGCGAACAATCTGAGACCGGATGTGCCTCATCAGCCATCTCCGGACACACAGTCACCGTCAACTGACCAGTTTGTGAAGTCAAGGCCATCTTCAAAAGCGCAGGGGTAGTAGGACGAACAAAAACAGCGTGTGAGTGTGTGTGTGTGTGTGTGAGTGTGTGTGTGTGTGTGTGTGTGTGTGTAAGTGTGGAGGGGGTATGGTGGGTTGGGGGGTATGGGTGGGTGGGTGTTTCCGTCCTCTAATATCCATAAATTAAATAGCCAAATAGTAACAAAATAAGTCACGACTGCAGAAACTGACAACTTGAGCCAAGGCTGACTCAAGCCGCCTCTGCCTGGGATTATACGAACTAAAGTTTCTCTCGCCAACCAGATATCGTGATCTAAGAAGTTTCCAGATTTTTCAAGAAAACACAATATAGACAAAATATTTAAAGAAAACATACATTTGTGATACAATAAGCAACACTATTTCAAGACAACAGAATATAGTAAAAATAAAAAGTTTCTAGCAGATGGTTGGAGGGCGTCACTGGTAGGTCCTATTTCTTTACTCTCCCGGGGGCTTAAAACAGAGCACAAGAAATTCTGGTGCTTTAGATTAAGTTATCTCTATCCACAAATTGCTACACGTCTTCACAGAGAGATGAAAGCTTGAAAATTATTGGCAACTTTTATAGCAACCTTTTGCCCTTTTTTGAGGGCAACTTTTGGCAACTTCTGGACAAAAAAAAATTGGCAACAAACGCAGAGGCTAGATTATTGCGTCGATATGCAGCTCTTTATTCAACCAAACAAACAAGCAAACAAACAATATTATTTTCCGGTAACCTGAAATGCTTGACCGTACAGAATCCTGCACCGTGTGTTTTAAGACAGGGCAACTGTGTCGCATCGTAGTGAAATCAGGTGCTCGTCAAAATAATGAACTGGGAGAAATTGACATTTTTCTTCCCGTTAGGCAATTAGATCAGTTTCCAAAAAGGACACAAAGGCCTGGGAAATTACCACACTTTGGCGACCATTTTCTCGCTATTTTTACCTATGACACCAAACGATCCCCACCTCCCTCAGTCCAATCGCAAGTATCTAGGCTTTTATTCAGACAGATGGGTATTGGTGTGTTTTTTTCATCAACAGCTAGGCGAATGAATAGGATTTATGGATATAACAGTAACTCCGTAAGCCTAAAAGTTGACGAGCGCCTGATTCCACCGCGTCGTGACACACGTTTTATTATCTCTACGCTCATCCTGTACGCCCACGGGCCGATGGGTTCCACGCCACGCACTGCAGATGTGAGTAGTACAACAGAAGACGCAACGACAGATGTGAGTAGTACAACAGAAGACGCGACGACAGCAACAGGTCTTCAACAATGTGAGTACTGACTTTTATTATTTTTAGTTTACGCCTCTCGCCAGTTCAGCCGGCTCACGGTACTCACACTATAGCATCATCAG